TCAAACTAGAAACAAACCGACAAAATAAAATGTAGCATTATTATAATCTAATTTAATCTGTAGAGTTCATCATTGACTTTATATGTAAAACTGCTTATTTAGAGACTGGAAGTAAAGAAATTATTGTTACTTTCCAACTGTTCATTTGAACACTTTTCGCGTGTGTGTGTGTGTGTGTGTGTGTGTGTGTGTGTGTGTGTGTGTGTGTGTGTGTGTGTGTGTGTGTGTGTGTGTGTGTGTGTGTGTGTTTGTGTGTGTGTGTGTGTGTGTGTGTGTGTGTGTGTGTGTGTGTGTGTGTGTGTGTGTGTGTGTGTGTGTGTGTGTGTGTGTGTGTGTGTGTGTGTGAGATGTTCGACAGAACAGCAACATGATTGGGTGAAATATAAACTCTCTCTCTCTCTCTCTCTCTCTCTCTCTCTCTCTCTCTCTCTCTCTCTCTCTCTCTCTTTCTCTCTCTCTCTCAGCACCTGTTGTCTGCCTGTGATCGCCCAGCAGCACCAGACACGTGGAGCAGGTAAACCAGGTGTGGTCAAGGCACCGAGACTGGAAGTGAAGCGTCTGTCTTATTCCATCTCTCTGCCTGTGTATGATGGACAAAGACGTCAGGAAAAGAGAACCAGTCTTCCGGAAGAGGTGAAGATTCATCAAAAAGATATTTTTTCCTTCATTCTTCCACTTTCATCCGCTTATCCGGAGTCGGGTCGTGGGGGCAGTAGCCAAAGGCGAGAGGCCCAGGCTTCCCTCTCCCCAGCCACTTGGGCCAGCTCCTCCGGGGGAATCCCAAGGCGTTCCCTGGCCAGGTGAGAGACATAGTCCCTCCAGCGTGTCCTGGGTCTACCTTTAGGTCTCCTCCCGGTTGGACGTGCCCGGAAAACCTCACCAGGGAGGTGTCCAGGAGGCACCCTGACCAGATGCCCGAGCCACCTCAACTGGCTCCTCTCGATGTGGAGGAGCAGCGGGTCTACTCCAAGCCCCTCCCGGATGACCGAGCTTCTCACCCTATCTCTAAGGGAGAGCCCAGCCACTCTGTGGAGAAAACTCATTTCGGCCGCTTGTATCCGTGATCTCGTTCTTTCGGTCACTACCCAAAGCTCGTGACCATAGGTGAGGGTAGGAACGTAGATCGACAGGTAAAACGAGAGTTTCGCCTTCTGACTCAGCTCTCTCTTCACCACGACAGACCGGTACAACGCCCGCATCACTGCAGATGCAGCACCAATCCACCTATCGATCTCACGCTCCAGTTTTCCCTCACTCGTGAACAAGACCCCGAGATACTTAAACTCCTCCACTTGGGGCAGGACCTCGTCCCTGACCCGGAGAAGGCATTCTACCCTTTTCTGACTCAAGACCATGGTCTCAGATTTAGAGGAGCTGATTCTCATCCCAGCTGCTTCACACTCGGCTGAGAACCGCTCCAGCGAAAGCTGAAGATCACGTTCTGATGAAGCCTACAGGACCACATCATCTGCAAAAAGCAGAGACCTGATCCTCAGGCCACCAAAACGGACTCCCCCCATGCCCGGTATTTGCCTTGGCGACCACCCGAGCCGCGTTCCACTTGGACTGCCGGTACCTGTCAGCTGTCTCTGGAGTCCCACAGGCCAAAAAGACCTTATAGGACAGGTCAGATGAAACAACAACAAAGTCAATCATCGAGCTGCCTAAGGTATCCTGGTGCCAAGAACACATGTGGACACCTTTATGTCTGAACATGGTGTTCATCATGGACAATCCATGACTGGCACAGAAGTCCAATAACAAAACACCACTCAAATTCAGATCGGGGGGGGGGGGGGGGGGGGGGGGCATTCCTCCCAACCACACCTCTCCAGGTCTCACTGTCGTTCCCCACGTGAGCGTTAAAGTCCCCCAGCAGAACGAGGGAGTCACCGGAGGGAGAGATTTCCAGCACCCCCTCCAAGGTCTCCAAAAGGGTGGGTAGGCTGAACTGTAGTTTGGTGCATAAGCGCAGACCACAGTCAGAACCCGTCCCCCACACGTAGCGGAGGGAGGCTACCCTCTCATTCACTGGGGTAAACCCCAACGTACAGGCACCAAGATGGGGGGCAACTAGTATGCCCACCCCTGCTTGGCACCTCTCAGTGGGAGCAACTCCAGAGGGGTAGAAAGTCCAACCCCTCTCAAGGAAACTGGTTCCAGAGCCAGAGCCATGCGTTGAGGTGAGTCCGACTATATCTAGTTGGAACCTCTCAACCTCACACACTAACTCAGGCTCCTCCCCCACCAGAGAGGTGACATCCCACGTACCTAGCCAGCTTCTGTAGCCGAGGATCAGACCGCCAAGGTCCCCGCCCTCGACCACCACCCGTCACACACTGCACCTGACCCCTTTGGCCCCTCCCATGAGTGGTGAGCCCATGGGAAGGGGGACCCACGTTTCCTCTTCGGGCTGAGCCCGGCCGGGCTCGATGGTGAAAGCCCGGCCACCAGGCGCTCGCCAACGTGCCCCACCTCCAGGCCTGGCTCCAGAGGGGGGCCCCGGTGGCCTACGTCCGGGCGAAGGAACACGGTTTCCATTTATATAATTCATCATAAGAGGTCTTCGGGCTGCTCTTTGTCTGATCCCTCACCTAGGACCTGTTTGCCATGGGCTACCCGACCAGAGGCAGAACGCCTCCAACAACTTAGCTCCTAGGATCATTGAGACACTCAAACCCCTCCACCACGGTAAGGTGGCAGCCCAGGGAGAGGCCTTCATGTTCTGTAAAAACTTCATCTGGAACATTCACAAAAGAGATGAGGGTAGCATTAAAAGCTGAGCTGTGTTTTTGAACTCATGAATGATAGAAAAGGTCTGCAGCTTGTAAAAAAGTCCCTCTCACACGAAGCCATCTCAGCTCCAACAAAACAGACACAATCACATCCCTACTTACCCTGACCTGTCCACGACCCTAGATGCAATCCAGGAAACAGTCCCTCCAGCGTGTCCTCACCTCGTTTCGGTAGGCTACAGGTCTCCACCACCTTGCTGGGCGGCTCGCTGCTGATGTGCCCAGTTGTGATGGATGATGTCAGGACTGAAAGTCCCAAACCAAAACTGGCAGAAGGACTTTGTTCAGCGTTTGTTGTTTTCTGCATAGTTCTGCTTGGGTCGTCGTTCTACGTCCGAAATGGACAACAACAAAACTAAAAGGTCCCTTTCTTCTGTTTCAGTTGACTCGTATGGAGGCTGGTTTTAGAGAGACTCGCTGCCCGCAGCAACAAGTCGAAGTTCTCCACCAACAAGAAAACAAACTGATGTGGCAAAACTTTTACTTCCTGAGTCTGAGTCAACGTATCGCCAAGTAATCCCAAACACACCTGAGCAGGCGGGGAGGTGGCCATGACCCTAACCTAACACGCCTCTGCTCCCTTCCACAGACCCTGGGTCAGCAGCTACTTCAGGACGTTCCCGATGCACATCTACTGTCTGCCGGTCCAGTCCACTGGCCACAAAGGCAGGAGGTGGGGGGGCCAGAAGAGGAGGAAATGACGGAAATCAGACGCAGAGATGTAACCTGATGTCATAGACCTGGAATAAATCCAGTGTGTGTGTTTTCACCATCTTGATTCCAAGCAGCTCCACTAGTTGGTGCTTTTATTTTGGAAGTGTGCTTTTTTGTTGACTTTAACTCCAGAGGTCCCTGTGTGACGTTTACAATAAAGGTATTTTATTCTGCTTCATTTGATCAAAATGTTAAAAATTCTACTTGTTTTATTTTCATTCACAGCACATTTAAAACAGCATGTGTCAGTCAGTAATGGTAAAAATAATAATGATAACAATAATGTTATTATTAATAATAATAAGGATACTATAATAATAGTAATAATAACAATAATAATGTCAATAATAGTCATTATAAAAATATGATTATGATTACAATAATAAGATTAGTAATAGTAATTAGTAATAATAATAATAATTATTATTATTGTTATTATTCAGAAGAAGAAGAAGAAGAAAATATCATTTCTATAGCGTCTCTCAAGATAAAAATCACGAGGCGCTTCACAAAAACAAAAAATGTAAAAATATAAACAGGAGTTTAGAAAATGGTTAAAAATATATTTAAAATGAGCAAAAATAGACGATTGTGATTAAAACATGTAAAGAAAGAGGGAGAGTAAATAGGAAAGAGGGAAACCAGTGGATCCTGAGGAAGGTGGAATAGGTAGAAAGAGCAGAACAAGGAGAGGGTGATGAAGGTCACACAAAAGCCTGAACAGGTGAGTTTAAAGGAGACCACTGAGTCCACTGATCTCAGGCTCAGGGGGAGAGAGGTCCAGAGTCTGGGGGCCACAGCAGCAGATGATCTGTCACCTTTGACCTTTAGCCTGGTGCTGCACAACCAGTAGGCTTTGGTCACTGGACCTCAGGGACCTGCTGGAGGCGTAGGGACTGAGAAGATCACAGATGAGAGCACGCTGGGTCCGATGGACTGAAACGCATTTTTAAACAAAAATGAGGGTAAGATGTTGAGAGGGCATGCAGAGGTCTTCTTAGAGCAAAGCTATCTAAAGGGTTTATTTTGCTCTGGGACACCAGGTTGGAGAAATGGGCAACCCTCGAGTCCCTGACTGCAGAGTTAAAGGATGTCAGAAGATCCTTTAGGTGCAGCAGATGGACGTGGAGATGGGTTTTCTTCCACAAGTGCTCAACTTTTCTGCATTGGTGCTTCAAGCTGCGAATGCTGTCATTAAACCAGGGAGTAGGGTTCACTGCAGGGACTGACCTGGTTCTGACAGGACAGGTGTGGTCCAGGATGGAGAGGCAGTGCTCATTAAACTGAGAAGTTAAGAAATCTGGGTCATCATCAGAAGAGCAGTGTGGATCAAAAGCAGCAGAATATTTGCTCTCATTTAGAAAACAAGAACTAACCAGATGGCGAGCAGGAGGTGGAGACGCAGAAACAGACAAGTAAAAGAAAATGCAATGGTGATCTGAAATGGCTTCGGAGCTAAACCAGGGATGTAAACACACACACACTGTAGAGTTTAGGGTTACCATGTAAAATCGCACCTGTGCTAGCGTTATAAACACAATATGTACATTTTATTAATCAGAGACACGCTGTTTAATGCGGAATGTGACTGAAATCCACATCTCTGCTGTTTTCCGTGATAGACCCTGAATGCAGCATTACGTCTTTACGTGAGTGGGTCATCGGCCGGTACGGTCCTTCCCTTGTGAGCGTGCTCGGCTTCGGCTCTCAATTCCAGACGTCATGGTAGGTTTTTGTTTTACTGGAGCTCATATAATGCTGTTTGATGAAGTTATCTCCCAGCTTCCGGCAGCGGAGCACGGGCACACCTAAGCTCGTTGTTGTTGTGCTGCTTCTGCTTTTGTTTAGCTCGGCTGTAGCGAGGTGTGCTAACCGGCGAGCACATGGGCGTTGTGGCTGCGCTAGCGGCTAAGCTAACAGCTCGCGCTTGATTTTAGTTTAGGTCCATTGCGTTAAAGTTTCCAGAAATTTGTGAGACACAACCCTATCAACTCTCTTGCTGCCGTGGTTCATTTGGGTCGTTTGGGATGCACCGTAGCTGGCCCGTTAGCTTGTAGTTAGCTGGGCTTTGTGGCTGTTATACAGGAACAAACCAGCGGTAACCGTTTTAACGGGACCAGATGCGCTGCTGCTCGGTTTTAACGGGACCAGAAGCGCTAACCGAGCAGCAGCGCATATACTTGTATCCATCACCACCTGGTTACGTAGTAAGTCAGCAGCAGATATTGTGTTTTTTGTTCGAAATTAGAAGCTTCTAGCGGTTTCCAGGATGAAAGGGGCGGGGCTCAGTGGATGTCGCATTCACGGTGCTCGGAATTTAGACCTCCTCCTCATTCGGTATCTGGTGATGGATCAACCCGAATGGGAAATAAAGTCAGGAATTAAAACAAAAATATATATTTGTGTCCAGTAATGATAATATTGTGTTTATTTAATAAAAAGGATAGATTTAAATATAACAGCGGCGTCCAAAGTTGATGCAGAATAAAATCACCAATGTACTGAAATAAAAAATAAATCCTATTAAATAAAATACAACTAATAGATTGTGTTTTTACCTGCTTAACAAAGCAATCAACACACAAGAGTTTCTATTAAAGTATCAGTGATGTCAGTAGCTGTGAGCCATTAAAGGTTCTGGTTCAGATTAATAAATGCACGTCTGTCATCAGGATCTGGGTCTCTCTCTTGTCGTGTTTGCTAGGTTTAGTCATGTTTTCTTCGCTGTTGGGTTGTGCAGACATCGGAGCAGAATTTGTTTATTTCTGATCCATCTATAAACTGTTTGCATTGATTCTGTTGCTGTAGTAAAACGTACGAACCGCTGAGACTTTAGTTATCATTGAAAATGTGAAACAAGGCTTCCAGCTATCGGGATCACGGGCTCCACTTCTGTGGTTTCAGATGAAGGCTGCCACTAATCAGTGACTGAAACTAATAAGACCTGACTCAGACGCTGATCGCCTGTATATCTGATTTTTGATTATTTAGGCGTCCTTATCGATGGCCCCGGTAAACATCTTCAGACATGGAGCCGATGAAGAAAAAGCTGAAACTGCTCGACTGGTAGGTTTGGAGAACCTTTGTTTAAGTCTGTTTTACAGTGAATCAGCTAAAACTCTGATCTCGTCTGCAGTCGTCCTTCGTGGGCGCCATTGCCATCGGAGACCTAGTGAAGAGCACCCTGGGGCCAAAGGGGATGGTACGTCACCTAAAGCTCGTTGTTTGGATGTTTCTGGTTCCTGTTTTCTGTTCTGAATTATTTGTTGTTAGTTCCAGTTTAAGAATCCAGTGTTTCCCCTAGGAATGTTTCCAGCTGTGTGTGTGTGTGTGTGTGGGGGGGGGGGGGGGGGGGAGAAATTATGACACGTCTCTAAATAAAGTAAAATTTTCCAGTGCAGAGTGGAGACAACCCATAGAAGCACTGATTTGATCTCATTTCAGAGAAAAATAGAACAGGTCAGATGCACCTAATAAATAAAATTATAACAAACTCAGGAATCTTTCTTTGCTTCACTGTTCTGGTGCTGAGAATATCACTAATGCAGATCAAAGGAGATACACAGATGAATGCACCTCTTATTTATTATTTGGAGACTACATTTACTGCAGCTGGCAGAGGCAGAGATTGTTTATATTGATACACGGATTTACAGAATCATTTTAAATTTTAATAGGGGAAGACTGCAGGAGGGAGCGGTAAAATACAGGGGGTCCCCAGCAAAAACAAGAAACTTTACCAGCCTGATGAAACCCGCTGAAATTTCCTTCAGGCAGTCACGGGGCAGCTCCAACGACCCAGTGGCTGTGCTGGGTCAATGTTATCGAGCTCAGTCCGGCTCGGTCGTGAACGAGCCGAGGCGACGTCGTGCTCTGCTTATTTTCCTGCTTCAGAAGAAGCGTCCAACGTGTTTTTACGCTTTCTCCGAGACATGTCACGTTGCTAACCCCAAAATTCCACTACCTCCGCTCCGGCACGAACTCCGCAGCAAAAACGGTCCCATTGTAGTCAATCAGAGCTGTTCCAGTACTGCGGCAGTGCGCCGCCCGCCGGAGCACCTCCACAGTCAATGGACAGAAATCACAACCGCCCAACAGGAAATGAGCAAGCACAGCTTCCGTTATTTCACAATAAATCGATAAACAAAAGGCGTTTTTTGTTTCATATGCACAGGTTTAACAACTTTTAACAACTATCAGTGGCGGCTGAACTTTAAATGCACAAAAATAAGCCATAAATATAGTTTCTACTATCAAAGTAGTCACACTTTGTTGATCCAAACACTGCTGATCTCTCAACACAAATGATGGGCAGATTAAACAGTTCATGTCGATGCTTCTCCCACACAACGGGTGTTTGGATCTAACTTCCGCGTTTATTGCTCGGACTGTATCGCAAGATCTTGAAAATCCCGCGCATGCTTGTTTGCGCACCTCAGGTCTCCGCACCGGAGCGGAGCCGTTGTAGAGCGGGTACAGTATGATTTGAGTTCAGAAGCGAGCGGCAGCGGAGGGCGGGGGCGGAGCGGAGGTAGTGGAATTTTGGGGTAAGTTGTTAGCGCCGCGCGCTAACACGTCAATAGAGCAGCGTAGCCTGCTGGAGGTTTTCAGGGTTCAGATGAAAACACCCGACCTCTCAGGCTGCTCACACATCGATCTTAAGTTGTCGCTGTTGCGCTCACGCCGTAATACACAGTACTAGATGCGGTTAAAGTCAGACATGAAAAAATAAATTTGACATGAATAAGTGATGATTAGCCTGGTGGGGGAGGAGAACCCTGTCAAGATCGCCAACACTCGTTTATCTTAATGCTATTGAAACATGTAAACCAAAAGGCGTTATATCCACTGCTACCTTTCTAATTTTAAACTCAGTCACTTATGCTGTAACTGCACCTTGCCCTGCCTGCTCCTCCTTGCTGCCTGTCGGCTGAGATCACAAGCGACAACATAGTAGTTCCCGCTGCTTCTTCGGGAAACAGCGCAAAAAAAAAAAAAACTTGGGATCTTGTAGGCGTGGCGGTGGGATTTCAGCCGTGGCGGGCCCTCACGGCTATGCCTATGTAAGGGAAACCCTGGAATCTGTTCCCATCTGAAGCTGCTTTTCTCTCTAGGATAAGATCCTACTGAGTGGAGGAAAAGGCGGGACGGTGACGGTGACCAACGATGGAGCGACCATCCTGAAGGCCATTGGTGTGGACAACCCAGCTGCCAAAGTTCTGGTTGGTGAGTGAGCAAGCGCAGGAGAAATGAAGCCTAAATGCTCCGTTTTCACGTAAACAAAGATTTCGGATCAGCTGCAAAACGTGCGAGTTTAGAGGCGTCCACTCGCCCTGAAGCAGACGAGCTAACGGGCTAAATCCTCTCACTGCAGACATGTCGAAGGTTCAGGATGACGAGGTCGGAGATGGGACGACGTCCGTCACGGTGCTCGCTGCTGAGCTGCTGCGGGTAAAATCCTGACCGACCAGCTGAGAGGCTGAAGTTTTAGGTGCTGCCGTGTTTTACGTTACGCTGTCTCTGTTGCAGGAGGCGGAGCTTCTCATTGCCAGGAAGATACACCCTCAGACGATCATCTCTGGCTGGAGGAAGGCTACTCTGGCGGCCCGAGAGGCTCTGAGGGACGCCGCTGCTGACCACAGGTGAGGCGAACGTTTTTACGTGAGTCGGAACTCTGTTCACACCTGACTCAGGCCCCGCCCCTTCCTGTTTCCAGCCGATTCTGCATTTTAGTGTCGTTCTGAATGGAAATGTAGAACAAACGTACACGATGTGTTTTGTTTATCGGAGAGCAGATAGTTCGGATTAGAACGCTCCAGAATCGACTAAACTTTTAAACATCTTTACTCGAGAAAGAACAAAGGCAGCGGGAGAGTCGCAGAGCCGTTGGCCAATCACAGGCGAGACATTTACATGTCGTGAATATTAATGAGTGAGACTTGAATCCTAAATCTTTGATAACAGATGAATGACACTTTTGGTTTTCTAAAGGGAGGAGCTCTTAATGTCGACAGAAAGCTTTAGGTGTGACTTTAAAGAGCACCGTTTGATTCTGGGTTTTAGTTTCTGAGGTCACGTCTGCACTTTCTGGTTTCCATAGCAACGACCCGGCTCGTTTCCAGGAGGACCTGCTGAACATCTCCCGCACCACGCTGTCCTCCAAACTCCTGACTCACCACAAAGATCACTTTGCCAAGCTGGCGGTGGACGCCGTCATGAGGCTCAAGGGCTCCGGGAACCTGGAGGCCATCCACGTCATCAAGAAGTTGGGGGCGAGCCTCACTGACTCCTACCTGGATGAAGGTGAGGCGCTGTGATGTCACAGGCTGAATCTGTTGTGTTGTGATTGGATGATGTTCCTGATGTCGTGTTGATGATCCATCCAGGTTTCCTGCTGGATAAGAAGATTGGAGTGAACCAACCGAAGAGACTGGAAAACGCCAACATTCTCATCGCCAACACGGGAATGGACACCGACAAGATCAAGGTTCCCAAAAACCACACAAACACCCGCCATGACGACGTCACGGCCTTGTTTGGGACTGGATCTGTTTCCTGTGACCTGAGCATGAATCGTTTGTGTTCAGATCTTTGGCTCCAGGGTTCGCGTCGACTCCACGGCAAAGGTCGCTGAGATCGAACTCGCAGAGAAACAGAAGATGAAGGAGAAGGTTGATCGAATCCTGAAACACGGCATCAACTGCTTCATCAACAGGTACCAACTGACACCAGCGTACGGAAGGCCAAAGGTGCCACAGCTCATAAAACTTAACATACCTGCAAACTTTTCAGCAGAATTAGCAGATTTTTTTAAAGCCAAATATGGCGTCCGCGAGAATCGTATAGATCCGAGTTTTAGTTTTGAAAGCGGGGCGGGGGGGGTCAATCAGCCATGGATTTCCAGAGAAGGGAGGGAATCCATCTTGCTCTCGTTGAACCTGCTGCATGAAGACAAAAAGGTCCACTTGAATATTTACATGAGCTTTACTATAACAGGTCCGTCTCCAACAGCTGGTGACATCATCAGCTGTATTATAACGGGTCTGTCTCCAGCAGCTGGTGACATCATCAGCTGTATTATAACGGGTCCGTCTCCAGCAGCTGGTGACATCATCGCTGTATTATGACGGGTCCGTCTCCAGCAGCTGGTGACATCATCAGCTGTATTATGACGGGTCCGTCTCCAGCAGCTGGTGACATCATCAGCTGTATTATAACGGGTCCGTCTCCAGCAGCTGGTGACATCATCAGCTGTATTATAACGGGTCCGTCTCCAGCAGCTGGTGACATCATCAGCTTTACTATAACGGGTCCGTCTCCAACAGCTGGTGACATCATCAGCGGGTCCGTCTCCAACAGCTGGTGACATCATCAGCTGTATTATAACGGGTCCATCTCCAACAGCTGGTGACATCATCAGCTGTATTATAACAGGTCCGTCTCCAGCAGCTGGTGACATCATCAGCTGTATTATAACGGGTCCGTCTCCAGCAGCTGGTGACATCATCAGCTGTATTATAACGGGTCCGTCTCCAGCAGCTGGTGACATCATCAGCTGTATTATAACGGGTCCGTCTCCAGCAGCTGGTGACATCATCAGCTGTATTATAACGGGTCCGTCTCCAGCAGCTGGTGACATCATCAGCTGTATTATAACGGGTCCGTCTCCAGCAGCTGGTGACATCATCAGCTGTATTATAACGGGTCCGTCTCCAGCAGCTGGTGACATCATCAGCTGTATTATAACGGGTCCGTCTCCAGCAGCTGGTGACATCATCAGCTGTATTATAACGGGTCCGTCTCCAGCAGCTGGTGACATCATCAGCTGTATTATAACGGGTCCGTCTCCAGCAGCTGGTGACATCATCAGCTGTATTATAACGGGTCCGTCTCCAGAAGCTGGTGACATCATCAGCTGTATTATAACGGGTCCGTCTCCAGCAGCTGGTGACATCATCAGCTGTATTATAACGGGTCCGTCTCCAGCAGCTGGTGACATCATCAGCTGTATTATAACGGGTCCGTCTCCAGCAGCTGGTGACATCATCAGCTGTATTATAACGGGTCCGTCTCCAGCAGCTGGTGACATCATCAGCTGTATTATAACGGGTCCGTCTCCAGCAGCTGGTGACATCATCAGCTGTATTATAACGGGTCCGTCTCCAGCAGCTGGTGACATCATCAGCGGGTCCGTCTCCAACAGCTGGTGACATCATCAGCTGTATTATAACGGGTCCGTCTCCAGCAGCTGGTGACATCATCAGCTGTATTATAACGGGTCCGTCTCCAGCAGCTGGTGACATCATCAGCTGTATTATAACGGGTCCGTCTCCAGCAGCTGGTGACATCATCAGCTGTATTATAACGGGTCCGTCTCCAGCAGCTGGTGACATCATCAGCTGTATTATAACGGGTCCGTCTCCAGCAGCTGGTGACATCATCAGCTGTATTATAACGGGTCCGTCTCCAGCAGCTGGTGACATCATCAGCTGTATTATAACGGGTCCGTCTCCAGCAGCTGGTGACATCATCAGCTGTATTATAACGGGTCCGTCTCCAGCAGCTGGTGACATCATCAGCTGTATTATAACGGGTCCGTCTCCAGCAGCTGGTGACATCATCAGCTGTATTATAACGGGTCCGTCTCCAGCAGCTGGTGACATCATCAGCTGTATTATAACGGGTCCGTCTCCAGCAGCTGGTGACATCATCAGCTGTATTATAACGGGTCCGTCTCCAGCAGCTGGTGACATCATCAGCTGTATTATAACGGGTCCGTCTCCAGCAGCTGGTGACATCATCAGCTGTATTATAACGGGTCCGTCTCCAGCAGCTGGTGACATCATCAGCTGTATTATAACGGGTCCGTCTCCAGCAGCTGGTGACATCATCAGCTGTATTATAACGGGTCCGTCTCCAGCAGCTGGTGACATCATCAGCTGTATTATAACGGGTCCGTCTCCAGCAGCTGGTGACATCATCAGCTGTATTATAACGGGTCCGTCTCCAGCAGCTGGTGACATCATCAGCTGTATTATAACGGGTCCCTCTCCAGCAGCTGGTGACATCATCAGCTGTATTATAACGGGTCCGTCTCCAGCAGCTGGTGACATCATCAGCTGTATTATAACGGGTCCCTCTCCAGCAGCTGGTGACATCATCAGCTGTATTATAACGGGTCCGTCTCCAGCAGCTGGTGACATCATCAGCTGTATTATAACGGGTCCGTCTCCAGCAGCTGGTGACATCATCAGCTGTATTATAACGGGTCCGTCTCCAGCAGCTGGTGACATCATCAGCTTTACTATAACGGGTCCGTCTCCAACAGCTGGTGACATCATCAGCTGTATTATAACGGGTCCGTCTCCAGCAGCTGGTGACATCATCAGCTGTATTATAACGGGTCCGTCTCCAGCAGCTGGTGACATCATCAGCTGTATTATAACGGGTCCGTCTCCAACAGCTGGTGACATCATCAGCTGTATTATAACGGGTCCGTCTCCAGCAGCTGGTGACATCATCAGCTTTACTATAACGGGTCCGTCTCCAACAGCTGGTGACATCATCAGCTGTATTATAACGGGTCCGTCTCCAGCAGCTGGTGACATCATCAGCTGTATTATAACGGGTCCGTCTCCAGCAGCTGGTGACATCATCAGCTGTATTATAACGGGTCCGTCTCCAACAGCTGGTGACATAATCAGCGGGTCCGTCTCCAACAGCTGGTGACATCATCAGCTGTATTATAACGGGTCCATCTCCAACAGCTGGTGACATCATCAGCTGTATTATAACGGGTCCGACTCCAGCAGCTGGTGACATCATCAGCTGTATTATAACAGGTCCGTCTCCAGCAGCTGGTGACATCATCAGCTGTATTATAACGGGTCCGTCTCCAGCAGCTGGTGACATCATCAGCTGTATTATAACGGGTCCGTCTCCAGCAGCTGGTGACATCATCAGCTGTATTATAACGGGTCCGTCTCCAGCAGCTGGTGACATCATCAGCTTTACTATAACGGGTCCGTCTCCAACAGCTGGTGACATCATCAGCGGGTCCGTCTCCAACAGCTGGTGACATCATCAGCTGTATTATAACAGGTCCGTCTCCAGCAGCTGGTGACATCATCAGCTGTATTATAACGGGTCCGTCTCCAGCAGCTGGTGACATCATCAGCTGTATTATAACGGGTCCGTCTCCAGCAGCTGGTGACATCATCAGCTGTATTATAACGGGTCCGTCTCCAGCAGCTGGTGACATCATCAGCTTTACTATAACTGGTCCGTCTCCAGCAGCTGGTGACATCATCAGCTTTACTATAACGGGTCCGTCTCCAGCAGCTGGTGACATCATCAGCTGTATTATAACGGGTCCGTCTCCAGCAGCTGGTGACATCATCAGCTTTACTATAACGGGTCCGTCTCCAACAGCTGGTGACATCATCAGCGGGTCCGTCTCCAACAGCTGGTGACATCATCAGCTGTATTATAACAGGTCCGTCTCCAGCAGCTGGTGACATCATCAGCTGTATTATAACGGGTCCGTCTCCAACAGCTGGTGACATCATCAGCTGTATTATAACGGGTCCGTCTCCAACAGCTGGTGACATCATCAGCTGTATTATAACGGGTCCGTCTCCAGCAGCTGGTGACATCATCAGCTGTATTATAACGGGTCCGTCTCCAGCAGCTGGTGACATCATCAGCTGTATTATAACGGGTCCGTCTCCAGCAGCTGGTGACATCATCAGCTGTATTATAACGGGTCCGTCTCCAGCAGCTGGTGACATCATCAGCTGTATTATAACGGGTCCGTCTCCAGCAGCTGGTGACATCATCAGCTGTATTATAACGGGTCCGTCTCCAGCAGCTGGTGACATCATTAGCTGTATTATAACGGGTCCGTCTCCAGCAGCTGGTGACATCATCAGCGGGTCCGTCTCCAGCAGCTGGTGACATCATCAGCTGTATTATAACAGGTCCGTCTCCAGCAGCTGGTGACATCATCAGCTGTATTATAACGGGTCCGTCTCCAACAGCTGGTGACATCATCAGCTGTATTATAACGGGTCCGTCTCCAGCAGCTGGTGACATCATTAGCTGTATTATAACGGGTCCGTCTCCAGCAGCTGGTGACATCATCAGCTGTATTATAACGGGTCCGTCTCCAGCAGCTGGTGACATCATCAGCTTTACTATAACGGGTCCGTCTCCAACAGCTGGTGACATCATCAGCGGGTCCGTCTCCAGCAGCTGGTGACATCATCAGCTGTATTATAACAGGTCCGTCTCCAGCAGCTGGTGACATCATCAGCTGTATTATAACGGGTCCGTCTCCAACAGCTGGTGACATCATCAGCTGTATTATAACGGGTCCGTCTCCAGCAGCTGGTGACATCATCAGCTGTATTATAACGGGTCCGTCTCCAACAGCTGGTGACATCATCAGCTGTATTATAACGGGTCCGTCTCCAGCAGCTGGTGACATCATCAGCTGTATTATAACGGGTCCGTCTCCAGCAGCTGGTGACATCATCAGCTGTATTATAACAGGTCCGTCTCCAGCAGCTGGTGACATCATCAGCTGTATTATAACGGGTCCGTCTCCAGCAGCTGGTGACATCATCAGCTGTATTATAACGGGTCCGTCTCCAACAGCTGGTGACATCATCAGCTGTATTATAACGGGTCCGTCTCCAACAGCTGGTGACATCA